ACTGTCTCGCCCCCGCGAGACAGTTTTCACTGTCTCGCACACGAGACAGTTTTCAGATGGTCAAAACTACCTTTGTAACTGCCCTACACGTGGCCACTAACTGTTCAAGAACGTGGGAAACGTCGTGGGCGAGAATCACGTGGATAACTGCCAAAATAACGGAGTTTGAAACGTGGGAAAGCAGTTACATCGAAAACTGCCAGAAATGTAGACAGTATTTTACTGTCTCGCTGGGCGAGACAGCAAATTTACTGTCTCGCTGGGCGAGACAGCAAACACTGTCTCGGCCAGCGAGCAAATCGACGAGACAAGAAACAATGGGAGGCTCCAGAATCAAAGAGCGATAAAGCAGGTACGGAGGAAACAAGAACCTTGCCTATTTAGGAGGATATAAATGCAACTAACTTAGTATTCATAAACAATCCTACCATGATATTATCTAGTAATGCTAATTAAATAAGTTCATATGCAAATAAAACTTAGAGTAAACCATTCTTACCAGTGATAACTTGGTCGTTCGCCTCAGCTTCTACGGCTGACATCATGAACATCTGTCGCTGAGGTTGCTGCCTGTGTGTTTCCTGATAAAGCTGCTGCTGTGGACCCCTCACGGTTCAATCAGAATCTGTGATTTGGGGGATCCACAGGCGTAGCACTGACGAAGCGCCTGCGACACTCCTGCTTGGGGTGTGCCCAGTGTGCCGCAATGAGTACACTTCACTGATGGCTGGCCGTGAGTCTGCACTCCAGGGCGTCTGATAAGGTGACTCTGAGGAACGGCTGACGCTGAGATGCTTGCTGTCTCTGCGGGCCCTGCTGCTGCTGCTCGGAGCGTGGGACGATCGGGCATTCCAGACGTGAGCTGCTGGTGTCCTGCTCTGAATCAAGTGTGAATCTTCTGGTTCCTTCTGCATGCTTTCAATCTCGCGTGCTGCATCCAATACGGCGTCGTGAGTCGCGAGAGCCCTACCAGCCAAAGCCAATCTGATATACTTGTCCAGACCTTTCTGGAACTGGTGCCTTCTGATAGTGGGGTCTGTAACCAAGTGGGGAGCATATCGGCTCAAAGAAGAAAACTCAGCCTCGTACTCGTCGACTGAGCGACCCCCTTGCTTGAGCTCGACAAATCTACGCAGGAGCTCATCTCGGGCCGACTGAGGAAAATACTTCCTATTGAAGCGATCCGTGAACGTTTCCCACAGAATCGGCCTCTCTAGGTGTGTCTTCTCAGCAGCCCACCAGATTCTAGCTGTATCCGTGAGCTGAACATCCATGAGATCTACCCACTCTGCAGGGGGAATACGAGTCACCGTAAGGATAGTCTCCGTGACCTTGAGGAACTCCTCTGCTGCTAAAGGTCCCTCGGCACCAGTAAAGGAAGGAGGCCGCATATATCGAAACTCTCTAACACCAGGCTCCGGGCGAGGTGGATGCTGGTGCTGAGGCTCCTGCTGCAAATGCCCAGCTAAGAATTGCTGGTTCGTTACCAGCCCCTGAATCATCGCTAAAAGCTGCTGCGGATCTGCTTCAGGCATCTGACCGCTACCATTGGATGAGTTACCATTACTACGAGTGCCCACCATAGTTCTGAAGGGAACGAGGATCAAAAGGAAAATTAAGGTTAAAATCAAACAATATATTTGGAAAATAGGAACTAAAACATAGTTATTAAGATAATAATATAAGAACTTAATTGTAGTCTTACGGATGGAAAATGATATGTATTTGAATCGTCCAATACATTCTTACTAGTGGGAACTCGGGACCGGGACCTGCATGGGCCACCACCAAAACCTGTCACGCCCCGCTTCCCAAAACACAGGGAATCGGAACGTGAACAAGCCCGCGACGTATTAGATTGAGAAGAAATATTTCCTATCATTTTTTTTTCTTTTCTTCTCAATCCAATACGCTAAGCGTCAAATATACAAATCTCAATCACAGGTCCCCGATCATAATAGTAAGAATATAAAGACAACCCAGAAGAAGAAATAAACATATCATCAACAGATCATCCCAGACATAAAATATGGGTTCAACATACCCTTATTACAAAACAAGTCTAGGTAGAAATAAAAATATATAGTCCATAATAAAGAAGTACTGCCAAAATACGAAGGTCCAACATTAACTAAAGAAATAAAACGATAACGAGTTCTAATGTTCATCCACTACTACATAAAAGAAAAACACGTCTAGGCTTCAGTTTGTTCTTCCACTCTATCGGGAGGACACTCCGGCTGGGTATACTCCGGCTCGGCTGCATCATCAAACTGAACCTGTTCGTCTCCTAAGTCTGACGCACACCAGAGAAAACAGGTGTACGTCAGGGTGCATGGCACACGGCAAGATCTCACATGTACAGATAAAACGGTCTAGCGACCCATACTATGATAATAGTAATGATGGAATATGATTCTGTAATTCTAGCAATTTAAGTGAACATTTGCTACTATCAGAACGAACAGAGATACTCAAGTCAAATGGTAATCTAATTCCTACGACTAATCCATCCTATAACAAGTCACTGGTCAATTCTCACACAAAGTCATCACTCATATCACCGGATATCTGACTGTTCACAAATCCTCTACGTGTACCCAATACGCCGCTACACTGGATCGGTCAGAGGGCTACACGTAATCCGTTTTCAACCTGGTTCGAACTCAAGTTAAACCCGGGTGAATATCCAATTCACGGACCAAAGTGACTACACTGGCTTCACTTTGACCCAACAAACTAACCCCAAGCTACACTGGATCATGGGGGAGTCTGGAAGATACATCAACAGCTATATCCGATCACATGAACAAGGACTTTCCCATCCCAACTCTTCTCGTTTTTCTAAGTTAATCATAATCTCATTTGAAAACTCGGGTTCACCACCTAAACTCACGCATGTCACTAAGTCTGTTCATGACGCACAAGGCTACTAAATCATGAACTACTAAGGTTCTCAACACGTCAACAGATCATGAATATAGTATGGCATGTTAAACATGATTAAATAGGTTTATAAAGCAGAAATGAGAACTATAATGAACATGAAATGTCTAAGCATGAATAATGCATGAGTGAGCTTCATTATTATCTTACCGCTAGGATGTCCGAACTTCTCATACAAAATATCTGTACTTACGTATTCTCTAATATAATAATACAGTAAAAAGAAAACTAGAAACCGATGTCGTTTTGCACATGAAATGTCCCGCTCTACGGCGATCAGTCATACTATCATAAATAATAATATTCCTTTTTTCAAAAATTATTCTTTAAAACTATTTCTCATTATAACTAATTTAAAATTAAAAAGATTTATATAATATAACATAAAAATTCCTTTCGGCATGAAAAATAATATTCTTCTATTATATAAATTTCCCTAACTAATTTCTTTTCGATAAAAATTCCATAAATTCTAATTTAGCACATAACTGGTCATTTCATGTCCGGAATTCTTAAAAATGTAATTAACAACATTATTAGTCTAATTTTCACGGTGCGCTCGCAATCATCATTCCACGCAGATATTCAAAAATACGTATTAACCACAATAATAATTTAAACATATTCAATCATCATACTAACAACAATATTGCCACAAAATAATTTATTTGTATCTAATCATCATAATAACACGATATTATTCATTATTTAAGAACAAGATGGATGCGAGATCTTGCCTCGAGTTGTGTCGAACAAATCGGCGTTGACGAACGGGACTATGGCTCGCGGATCTGAGTTGGGGCTGACGAGGGTGTCGACACGGGTCTGGACAGCGAAGGGGAGGTTCTGGAGGTGGTGACGAGGATCTGAACAACGACGTCGGCGGTTGAGGAATCTCGGCGAGGCGGCGATGGAGTTCGAGCAATGACGAGGAGCTCACGGCGGGTTTGGGCGGTCGTGGAGGCGCTGGAGGTGAAGAACGAAGAGAGGGAGTCGGGGTTTCAGAGGGAGGCGGCGGCGGTCAGCTCAGGGGTCGACGTCGGAGGCCGGAGCGGCGCTGGGCGAGGGGCTGAAGGAGCAGTGGTGGTGCGACTCTTGGAGGAGGAGCTGGGGGTGAGCGGCTGGAGCGGACGTCGCTGGGGTGCGCTCGTCTCAGGCGGAGCTCGCGGCGGAGCTTGGCTGGCGGGTGGGCTCGAGAAGGAGGTGGAGGAGGTCAAGGGGGCGAGGGTGGTCGCGGCTGTTGCGAACAGGGCGGTCGGAGGCAGGGAAAAGAGGCGGGCGGCTCGTCGGGGCGGAGGCGCTGGATTGTTGAAGGAGAAAAACGAAGGAGAGAGAGAGGGGAGTTGTATTCGTGGGGGTGGTGGTTTCTTGGGTTTTAAAAGAGGAGAGAGAGAGTGATGAATATAATAAGAAGAGAGAGTGAGTGATGGTGATTGAGTGTGAGGGAGAGAAAAAACGACAGATTGAGAGGGTGGTTTCTTGGGTTTTAAAAGAGGAGAGAGAGAGTGATGAATATAATAAGAAGAGAGAGTGAGTGATGGTGATTGAGTGTGAGGGAGAGAAAAAACGACAGATTGAGAGAGATTTGTTGGATTAAAATAAGGAGAGTGAATTATATTGAGAGAGAGTGTCAGAGAGAGAGGTAGATTGAGTGTGGGATTGGAGAGAGAGTAAAAACGGCGGAGAAATTAATGAGGAAGACTGTGCGGGATAGGGTGGTTGGGAGGACGTGGGTTGAGGGCTGGGGGAAAACACGAGGCGGAGGGATTTACGTGAATTGGGGAGAGATATACAGAGTGAACACCGGTGGGAGGAAAAACACAGCGAAAAATACCCCCTTAAATAATTTAAAAAATATCATAAAATTTATTCAAAATAAATATTAAAATTTATGGTCAAAATAATAATAACAATAACAATAACAATGCTGAAAAATTAACTATTTATTTAAAATTTCACCAAAACAATTAAATTTATAATTAGTAAAAATATTAAAATAACATAATACCGTATTTTTAAATCGTAGAAAATTCTAGAGAAATTGGGAAAAATACAAATACTCTTTTAGGAAAATAATATTTAATATTTAAATATCAAAAAATTATTTAAACCCGTATTAGAAATTTACGATCATTATAATTTTTTTTAAGAAATACAAAGAAATCATATTTTAGGTGGAAAACATTTCCTATAATTTCTAGAAATTGAACCAAACACCCCCTAAGAGGACATATTAGAATTCAAATTATAAATTTACAACAAAGCCATCCATTAAAATCTATTATTTATTTGTTTATATTTATTAAGACTTTTTCGCCAAAGAACATTAGCTCATTTGTAAGAGCATCTCCAACCATGCCCTCCAAATTTCACCCTCCAAATGTTTTTTTTAATTTTTTTGTCAAAAAATCCATATAAATTAATAATGTTGGATATAGTTTATATTAATAATTTTATTTTCAATAATTTATTTAGAAAAAAATTATAACATTATAAAGGGGTTGATGAGAGCTTTAAAATGAACTCAATATTAATAATGCAATACAACATATTAAAAAAATAAAATCTGAAATAACAGTGACAAAGCATACATTGGTAGAACAAGAAAGCAAATATTGTAATTTATGCTTGTATTTTCTTATGGGTAAAGTTAAATAGATCATCGTATTTAAATTTTTATGTCTGATACTTATTTATTCAATTTAAAAATTAATAATTTTATAATAATACTAAAATAAAGTAATCTTAGTTTTATTTTAAAGATCTCAATGAGACCTTTCCAAATATATAATAATTTTAAATATTAGATTAATAATTTTTTTAACTATGTTTAGTTGAAATTAAACATCTAATTTAAATTACTAAGAATGATGGCAAAGTGGTAATTTTTAAGAAATTAAATAGTTAAAAGTGGTAAAGTTATAATTAATGAAACATGAATAGTATTTTGGAGAGACTCCAAATTTTCTCTTCACCCTTCAACTTTGGAGGGTCAAATTTGGAGATCTCCAAATTTGGAGAGTGGTTGGAGAGGTTCCACTCTCCAAATTTTGGACGATTTTACCTTTTCCTGGAGGCGTGATATGACCTAAAGAGTATTTCAGTTTTGAACAAAAAATGTGACATCAACTTCTTTATTATTTATTTATTATTGTGTACATTGGATGTTCAAGATTATCAAAATATACTCTTAGCGGCATCACAGTTCAAAAAACACGATATTTTGGGTATTAAAATTTACCCCCCCCCCCAAAAAAAAACACCTGCTGTCCACGGTAAGCCAGCAACTTCAAGGTGATCACCAGACACACAGCTTCCCCAAAACAACTGTCAGTGTGACGACGCATCGGCCCCACGTGCGGATACAGAGACGAGTTCTCTCAGTCCTCCCACGGAGAAATAGGCGAAGGGATGAAGCGGTGCGAGCTGGTGGCAGCGATCTGGACTGATGTCTGCACGCCGCCTCTCCCTATTCTCCGCCGCCGCCGCCGCCTCCACCTCCGGCGACGAGAACTCCCTGTAAGCCCCCTCCCCCTGTTTCCATTTACAGCGACGACGATAAAGGCCAATCGCAAAACCCTAGTTCTTTCTATAGATTGGTTCACTGTGTAGAAACCCTAGATCCTTTCAATTTTACGTGTTTGATGAATAATTGTTGCGATCTCAATTATGTCCCTGTGCGTTATTGATCTTGAAACTGTGAATACCTATGAAGTTGATAGCCATGTTTTACGGTCAGAACATTAGATAATTAAGAAATGCTTGTCCAGAGAGTAAGTGTACTTGTGAAAATAATTGCCCCTGATATGTAAACTGTTGATGTCAGAATTTAGGTTGTAGGATATAGGGCTGATTTTAAAGCGCTTAGGGTCCCTTAATCTCCTTTGATGGCTGTTTCCCTGATAGGAGGAGAATCCTACACATACGTAACATGTTAAGAGGACCGGAGTTGGGTTCTCCAATAGTTCCTCCAACGATTAAGTTAGTTATAATCTGAAGGGGAGAAAGGAACTGATATAGTTCTCTTAGTTTGCAGAAATTATGTACCTTTGGAGAATAAATGATGTGCCTGTTTATACTGAATTGACAAGGGCATTTACTAATTTTGATTGCGGTTTAGCCAGCTGATACCTTTACAGGTGTCGATATTGGGGGTCCGAGTCACCCTTGTGATGAGTGCGATAGTGACAGGGTTCAAGGTGTGTTGACGTGATCCGATGAGTCGTTTGGACTTCGGCGGTGGTGCAATGATGACTCCGTGCATTTAATGTTATGGTGTTTGGATGTCGTTGAGAGTTCGAGAAAGACCGCATTTTGTCTCGGCTAGACTTTCAGAAGGGGTTGAGTGAATATGTCTTTTGACTCGGCCTGTTGAATGATAACGCCTCTCGAGTTGGCCTTCATGAGACTCGGGTTGGGGTGATGTTTGGTTAGTCAAAACACGTGTCCCTTGCTGAAGTAAGATTTATACTTGGTGAATTCTACTACCCAACACTGGCCCCTTTCACTCGAACTCGGGTCGTCGGGTTCGAGTGAAATCAAATTGTTGTCTGTTGGAATTTCAAGACGCATTTATGAGAGGTCACTGATGAGTCACTATTGATGCGACGTTCTGGCATCAAAGGAGATCGTGGATTAGTTGAAGGGGGGGTGTCGTTTCGATTTTTGAACGGTCGCTTTGAATTTCGGGTGTCCTTTCAGCCGTCCTTTGATATCTGAGTCGGCCGTTTAGAACTCGCTACATGTTCACCTCTTTGCCTTATATACATTTGATCCTCTAAGGGATTAGTTTACTTCTTCCAAAATCCTACAAATTTTTGGCGTTGTTTGGGCGATTTTCGATCATCTTCAAGCTTCCTCTGACGAACTTTTTTGCGAAGAGATGGTATCTTCCGCTTTCGCAGTGCCCGTTAGCAATGAAGCTTGGATTGAGCTGCTTTGAAAGTTTCATTCGAAGTTGCTTCCGGCGATGCTAGAAGCCTACCACGACAAATTTGACATTCCTCAGTCGTTTACCTTGACGGCGCCAACGAAGGATCAGCCTGTGTATGATCATAGTGGGAATGTGACTCCAGTGTACATCAAGCATTTAGAGTATGGCATGCATTTTTCGCTGCACTCTTTTCTTTGTCGTGTCTTTAAGGCCCTAGGGGTCTCGCCGTCGCAGATCAAGTCGAACTCCATAGCTATGTTCATCAAGTTCCTTGTGATTTGCCATCGAGTGGAGGTGGAGCTGACTCTTGGGATTCTCGACCACTTGGTCAGTGTTAAGACCAGCAAACTTGATGGGCACTACTATTTCTAGTTCTTGGGCTACTCCAAGTTCGTCACAAATGCTCTTGACTCGAACAAAGATTGGATCAGTTCGTTTGGGTTTTTGGAGCCGATGCAATATTGGCTTGTTCGGCCTGGTCTGAGATCAAGAAGGACGTTCTAAAGGCGAGTCTAGTCTCAAATGTGGAGAAGCGCTGGCTTGGTATGATCCGAGCTTATGCTGGGTCCTGACGTAGTGAGAATCTTTTTGACAACTCGGTGTTGCGAGTTGTCGGCATTTTCCCTACCACTCCAACTGAGGAGGATAATGTTTGTGATGTGGTTCTGGCGTTGCAGGTGGAGGACCCCGAGATGGCCTAGGCGAGTTCTTCCGCAAGGCCCCAGAAACCCCTCCGATCTGATCTGGCTTCAGAGGATGCCGGGATGATCTGGCTTCAGAGGATGCCGGGAGGATCAAAGTCAATGTGGTCGAGATTGCGGCTCGGCTTTGGCTGGTTCGGGTCTTCTGACCTATTGTTTCAGTGCCCTGAAAGGTTTGAGAAGAAAGCAAAAAACTAAGTAAGAGTCGAGCGGTTCAATACCCCTCCTGGGAGTGTCCGTGGTCCTCAAAAAAAGCCTGCCTGGCACATTCGCGAGCAAGCCACCCTTCTTGGCACAAAGGAGGGAGCAAACGACATCGATTAGCGGAATAAGGTTCCCTGCTTCCCACTTGACTGGAGAAGCCATGTCTCGACCAAAGGACGAGGCTGCTACTATTTTAACCCAGGAATTTCGTAGGTTATCCCATCAGAGGGAGTCGAGGTGGGCGACGAGTCTCCGGTTTAGGGTGTCAGGGGATGTGAGCCGGTTGTGATCAAGCCCGAAGGGGCCACGGTGTAGGCTGAGAAAGGGGCAATCTCTACCGTACCTGTCAAGACTGCTCATCGTCCTGGAAAGGAATCAGCTTGGAGAGGCCCTAGCTGCTCAGAGGGTAACCGAGGGCCCTCTAACTGAGACAGGTCAAGAAAGAGGACTTTGAGTGGCTCTTCCCTTACCGCATTGATGAGCTTTTCAAAGCTAGGTGGGAGGAGCTTAGGAATATGTTGATAGGGTCGATTGAAGCTCGACCCTGGTATGATAAGGAGCCATCAGAGGAGACCGATTTGTCGTCGGGCGGTGACTCGACAAAAAGGGGTCGGTTCTGGAGTCCAGGGCCACCTAGTCTAGAGTGTTGGAGCAATTCTTGAATCTGCATGATGAGAAGCTGCTTGTTGAGATGCTAGACTTTGGTTTGCAGCAAACACTCAAGAGCTATTTGATAAAGGGGCCCTCGTGGGACATGAGCTGTATGTCCTATTCATGTAAGCGTGAGTGCTTTATTTTAAGCTCTGAGAGGAGATGGAGGCTCAACGGGCCGCTCGGGAGGCAGCTAACCTAAGGGCGGCAACATAGGAGAATGAGCTCGTAGTGCTAAAGAAGGGCCAGGGCCGACTAGAGCGAGAAGTGGAGATGCAGGATGATAAGATGAAGGGTCTACTCACCTCTTGCAGGCAATGGTCAACCCAGTTGACCGAGGCTCGATGAACAGGCTAGCAGCTTCAGGAGGATTGCGACCGCCTTCATGGACGTGTTAGATTCCTAGAAAAGGAGGTTGAGATCGAGGCCCGAGAGTGGAACGATGCCTATGAGCGGGTTTGTCACGCTTGTGTGAACGCTTAGGAGATGGAAATTCGGCTAAAAAAGGAGGTGGCCACTCAAAATAAGCTAAGACATGGGGCCATTCGGGTAGCTCTGGAGGCCAAGCGACAACGCGAGTCGTCCCTCTCCATGATACAGGCGTTGTAGGGTAGCCTCGAGCATTTGGAGTCTAATGCTTATCGACATGGTTTTAAATATCGACGCCGAGTTATTGGATTCGGGAGCTTTCTGTTAGGATAAGTAGGATTTTTAATTGGTTATCGTTTTTTGAGGTTTATCGGTGAGTTATTGACGATAAAGACAGCCGATAAGTAGGCTCTAGATATCGGCTTTATCGGCCGATAAGTAGGATTTGAGAGCTTTTACTTTCTTTTAAATTTGCTCCTTGAATGTTTACAAATTATGAGCTATTTGTTGCTTTTGCAACTTGGTTGATTGGTGATTAGCTAATGTTTGTTTATGGATATTGATAATGGCTCATAACTACTAAATATCAACTTAGTAAGTTAGTTTATGAATCTCATGATTAAACACTAATTATGTAGATGTGTAGATGGTTCTTCATTTTTGATGTTATCTTATTATTTGCTTGTTTATTATTCCATTTTGACTAACATTATATTTTTTTAAGCTTATGTTTATTATTTGCTAGTATATTACTCCGATAAATATTACTTATCCCCGATATAGCCCCGATTTCTGCTATCTGATAAGGATTTTGACCGTTCAATAAATCCCCGATAACCGACATTTAAAACCTTGCTTATCGATTTGAGGTTGTTGAGAATCATCGCAATGACACTCTTAGGAAAGTAGAGGTGGCCCTGGCTTGCAAGGTTGGGTTCGACTATCTGCAGATGTAACTTCCAATCGAGCTCAAATCTTGTCAAGAGCAGTTTCACTACTCGAATGGCTGACTACCTCAACGCTCTCAGGGAAATCGAGAGGAGAGGAGGTGGACTGTGCTAGAGTGTGAGAACGAAGATGAGGATGGTGAGGATCGAGAGATAGGTGAAGGCTCGGCCCACGATAGCTGGGTAAGCTAGCCTGAGGAAGAAGATGATCAAGTGGCTTCGTCCGAGCCTTAGCCACCTTTTTTACCTGTACCGGCTCCTTCAGCTCCTGCTTCCTTGGTCTCTGGCTCGGCTCCATCCTTTGATCCTGATCCAGTTCCGGGTTCATCTCCACTCCGAGTTCGGCTTTAGATCCGGGCTCGGCCCCTTAAGAGCTTTGTTGTTTTTGTAATATACTTTCATATTGTAAATTACTTTCTTGCATATTAAATGTTTGTGATTTGTTACGATCAAGTAGTAATGTGCGTTCAAGCCTTATATGCATTCCGAGTGGAGACCAAGGGCTTTGGTTCATAAGAACGACACCAAGCTTTTAGAATCGATGACTACCGAGTCGTAGACGACTTGGCTTCATGCATTGGTTTTCTCCGAAAGGATTCCACGACCTTTGGTCGCCTTGGATATATTCATGAAAATGACACCAAGGTCTTAGAGTTAATGACGACCGAGTTGGAGACGATTGAGCTTCATGCCTTAGTTTTACTCCAAAAAGATACAAATGTCTTTGGTTGACTTGGGTTTATTCATGAAAATGACACCAAGGTCTTAGAGTTGATGATGACTGAGTTAGAGATGACTCAGCTTCATGCCTTGATTTTACTTTAAAAGGATACCAAGGTTTTTGGTTGCCTTGGGTTTATTCATAAGAACGACACCAAGGTCGTAGAGCCTTCATTGCCGAGCCGATGAAGATCGAGTGGTAAGAGCTGTATACATGTTGGTACACAATGCAAAATATTTTTTAATTAGAGAAGGGTCTTTATAGTTTAATTACATCTTGTGGAGATATTCTCCGAAATGTTTTAAGTTTTATGACAACCCCACCGTTTTCTAAGCTTTGCTCTTCATTTAACTTTTGGTGGAGTTTCTTGACAGTCATAGTATTTAAGTGGCGGTGACAGCTTCTAATTTTGAGTTTCGAAGACGGGATTGACCATTCTCTCAAAAGAGATAAAGAGGCCCTACAGTGAGTGCCAAACTGTTAATGCCAGATTTTAGATTGTAGGGTTTATTGCTGATTTTAAAGAGCTTAGGGTCCCTTAGTCTTCTTTGATGGCTGATTTCTTGATATGAGAAGAGTCCTGCACATATACAACACATTAGAGGACCAGAATTAGGTTCATTGGTGGTCCCTTTAACAATCAAGTTAGTTATGATCTGAAGGGGAGAAAGGAACTGAAATAGTTCTCTTAGTGTGCATAAATTGCGTACTTTCGGGCAATAAATGATGTGCCTATTTATACTAAACCGAGAAGGACATTTACGTAATTTTTGCTGAGTCCATGCAGTCAGCTGATACCTTTATAGGTGTTGGCATTAGGGGTCCGAGTCACTCTTGTGATGGGTGCGATAGTGACAGAGGGTTCAAGGTGCTGACGTGATCCGATAAGTCATTGAGACTTTGGCGGTGGTGCAATGATGACTCCGTACATTTAATGTTATAGTGAATGGCCGTCGTTGAGAGTCTGAGAAAGGCCACATTTCGTCTCGGCTTGGCTTTCGAAAGGGATCGAGTGAAGATGTCTTTTTAACTTGGCCTGCTGAATGATGACATCTCTCGAGTTGGCCTTCATGAGACCCGGGTTAGGTCGATGTCTAGTCAATCAAAACACGTGTCACTTACTGGAGTGAGATTTATACTTGATGAATTCTGCTACCCAACAAAATGTTGAATTGAATGACTGGCTATCCAATAGAAACCTAGATGGAAAATTAGTGAGTCTGTTGAAAATTATTGGTGATGTCAACTAGGTATAAAATGAGAGAAAAATTTAGATGGTCTAGACATGAGCATTGTAAGACTAGGGAGTGCACTTGTTATGTTTGAGGTAGCTTGACAGAGATTTAAATGGACGCTATTTGAGGCAGTAGAGAGGGCTGGGGATATGTTGATTTTTACATGGAAATGTTACATAGCAGAGCTGAACTGAAAAGCCTGATTGATGTAGACATGGAGCTGCTAGAGGTTCTCTATTGAGGTGGAAAAACAAATAATATGATAGTACATGGAGATCTAAGAGTAGAAAGAACATGCATCGAGATAGTTAAAAAGAACATGATGCTTGCTAATTTATCCATGATCAGAAAGAACATAGATTATGATAGTCAAAACGAATAACACAATTGCTTATTTAACCTATGATACGCAGGGCATTTTTCCAACCAGAAATTAGCATGTATGACCGTGCTGGACAGGACAACATGCTTATTTGCGTCCAATACTTAAAAAATACGTAAACCTCTATCTACTTCAATAAGATGAAGTATGTACGACTTATGCCATTCTTTTGAGGGGAAAAGAACTGTGTGTGAATCATTTTACTATTTAGTTTATTGTATATGTCTATGACAACCCCCTATACAGATGTGAGGTTTGCCTGTAAGGTATACATACATCTAATAGCGCACAAATATCACTTGTTCCCTCGTGTCTTGATATAGGAGGGTTTCTATGTCACACACCACGTGTCCGTACTGGGATATGACTCTCATACTCGTATTTCGGTCTATAAATCATAGCACTTACTGAAGGAGATATGGCCTTTAACTGTGCTGAATATAGAAAATGATTCATGTAGCTAGACCCATATAAGATGGAGGCTTTGTTGTCTTCATTCTTGTTGTCATTTTGTTGCATGGAGATTGAGGGAAAAGGGGAAACCTATTGGCTATTAACATTTAACAGTCCTAGCTAGTCAGTCCACTTCTCAGAAAAGGGACTGTTCTCAATGTCTATTTAGAAGTTGTCACACTATATTAGCACACATGTAAGACATTTCTTTGCCATATCTTATATAGCGACACGAATGACTTGCCCTAGCTGTTTATATTTATGTATGGAAGTCTCTTTTATTTAGTTCTAATTTTATTTGTTCAGCCCCTTGATTCATAGTGGAGAGAGAAATGTTCATACTTCATAATTATTTGTACTTTAATGATTGTAAGTTATGTTCTTTTCATGTTGTAGGTTTGTTGATCTATTGCAGGAGGCCCCATTATCTGTGCGTCAGCAGCACACAAGCATCTTTGGGAGCGTCTTTTACTGTTTCCTACTGGCAAGTACACATGTTTGTTCATGTTGCTTTTTATTTAACATCCATGTTATGGAAATCTAAATTTTTATTCATGCTTTCAAATCATGGTGCTGAAAATTTGATACTTGTTTTCTATTTTTTTCAAAATTATCTGGAATATATTATCCCTGCGGTGCTTCCACGTCCCCATGACATGCTTGTTTTCCATCCCATTCTCGT